AACCCCCCAAACCCCCCCCCCCTCCCCCTTATAAAAACAAACAAGTGGGCTCCCCCAAAGTCCACGGTATAGTTCGAACACTGCACAGTTATCGACCAATCAGCATCAAGGACTGCAACAATAATGTATATTAATAAGATTCATCTTGTATATTTCTAAATGTTTTTTATTGAAATCAGTATAAATTAACAGCAGTATACGATGATATGATGTCCTACTTATTTAAGTATTTTTTGCATTACAGTAAATGCATTACAGTGATGTATTTATTTAAAACAAAGTTGAATTCTATCTATATACAGTATACAGTATATCTACATATATGCTCCTGTTTCAGAAGTAGACGCACACACACACACATCTAGCTGAGTGTGTGCACGGTCCTCCCCCGTCCCTCCCCTCGGCTGTCTCTGCCCACTCCTCCGCCATGCACTGACCCAGACTCCGCTGCGCTTCCTCATCCTCATCCTCATCGTCACCGCGAACAATAGCGCGAGCCGCAGGCCTGACCGCACGCGCGACACAGCGATGCTGAGCGGCGTCTGAGGCGCACGGAGCACACGCGGCATCGCTTCAGACTCGAGCTCTCGGAGAAGATGGCGAACGACTCTCCGGCGAAGAGCCTGGTGGACATCGACCTCGCCTCTCTGCGGGTGAGCGGCTGTCTCCGAGCGTGTCCGCGTCGCGTCGCGTCGCCTCGCGTCGCTTATTAACCTGTGCGACGCTCTTTGTGTGATTGCAGGACCCTGCTGGTATTTTCGAGCTGGTGGAAGTGGTCGGCAATGGCACCTACGGACAAGTGTACAAGGTCGGTGTCGATTGAGTCTTACTACATTCACAACCAGCTCCACTGCAGCTTCGAGACTACTCCGTTATAGGGTTACAGCAGAATAGTCATTTCTACTGAAGTCGAGGGTTTATCGGAGAGATTGAGCTCTGCTGATGGGTGTGATCTGCTGCGCATGCGCAGAGACACTCAATGCGACAAAAAAGCAGCTTGATTATAAACCGGCTCCACACAGATATAAACGAGCTCAGCTCTGGATCTCTGGATCTGTGCATCACATTATTACACCGTTTCAGTCCTGTGTGACAGCTCGTGTGTCGATCCCTCTGCCAAAGACTGAGAGATTTAGTTCAGCACAGTACTGAATATAAAGCCAGATAGCTGTAGTGGATAGTAACGGGCTGTGAGACGGCATCGGCCTGCTCTGAAGACAGCAGTGCACTGATGAAGAAGAGCTTCCTCACTGCTTGCATTCTTGCAGTCTGAGCTCATGCTCCTGTTTCTGAATCATTCACTTCCTTCCTTGAACCTCAGTGCTGTGCTGACCAGCTGTGACCGGCCGATCAGCCAGAAATGAGCCTGCGGGCGTGCTAGTGTGTTTCCACGGCCTCTTGATGGGGCCTCGGCGGGCCCCTGGGGGCTGGAGGAGTGGCTATGAGTTTATCCGAGATAGAGACGGCGCCACCGCTGCTTATTTCACATGATTTCATAACAAGCTATCAACTAGCATCAACATCTAAAACTATTTTAAAGGCAAAACTTGAGTGTCTGAATGAACTGAATTCTGATCACCGCATGACACAGAAATGTGTTATACGCGATGCTAAAGGCTGCGTAGCCTATGCTAACAATCGCGATAATAAAAGCACGGTATGCTTCTGAAAATACCAGAACGCAGATAAATCATATATGATTATTATCACGTATTGGGTTCATATTTGTTCTGTCTGCTCCGCGTGTCTTTGCTCCTGCATATGTCATACCTGCATATGCTCCGTGTAAATCATCTAGCTCCCTCTGCTGCTTTGGCTGAAGGGATAACCCTGAGGTTCTGTTGTGTTATACATGTACGCATTTGGACTAAAAGCCCTAATGGAGTTGTTTTGTGCGGAGCACGTAGCATATGTGTGTTCTCTCTTTATGTGAAATAATTATAACTATCTGTTTGATTTAGCATGTTGACACAACTTAATGAATGACTATTTTTATCGTAAATCATCGGTATATAAAAATATTGATGCTGAAGCCATAAGTCTTTATGTAAGGACCATCCATATATAGGTTTGTTAGTGCTTTCTTCACAGAGGTGTGTTTCACAGTAGCGCTGGCCCCACAGTGGAAAAGCAGTATTTACTCTCCCTCATGTCGTGCCAAAACCACAAGACATTGATTCTTTTTAATTATTTTTTTTATTGAAGCCAAAATGATTTCTGTCCTTTCATTGAAAGTCCATGCAATCAAAATTTTCAAGCTTAAAATGCATATGAATTGCTATGATCAACATATTTAATGTATGCTTTTATTGGCATGTAAACATTGATCATCACACACACACACTTGACTTGATGCATGTTGTTGTATGCATGGGTTGGGTCAATTAAAAAAAAAGAATAGTGTCGCTCTCTCAAAAGTGTGAAAGCCAGTGCATTAGTGGGCTCTCTGGAGGTTTGAGGGCCGTATCATCTGAAGAGCCTGCTGTAGTGAAGTCTGAGTCTGAAGAGTTAAGGGCTTGAGCTCTCGATCACCCGTAAGCAGCGTTTCATCACAAAACAATAACACCATGCGCACAGGACAGACGAGCCATCTGATGGTATTCTAGTGAATGAGAAATGATTGCAGTGCAAACCGCTGTAGAGTTAGAAGCGGTGATTCACAGTTCACAGGCTTCATGTGCCACAAATCAGTCGCTGTAGAAATACTTTTAAAGGGGTGGTTGATTGCAATTTCACTTTTTAAGGTTAGTTAGTGTGTAATGTTGCTGTTTGAGCATAAACTATATCTGCAAAGTTGCAGAGCTGAAAGTTCAATGCAAACGGAGATATCATCTTTTAAAATTCTGGCAGTTTAATGCCTACAAAAATGGCTGGTGGGGACTACAACGAGTTACTTCCCGGGTTTGTGACATCACAAACCCAGATAAACCCCTCCCTCGGGAAAAGGCAGCAAAGGGGGCGGGGCCATGCTGCGCTGCTTTAGAGAAGAGGAAGAGAAAACTAGGGGTGCATAAATATCTATTCATTTATGAATCATGATTCTGTCTTCAAACGATTCTAATGCATTCACAAGTTTCAAAATCAGTGTTCTAAAGCAGCGGTTCTCGATCCTGTTCCTCACGTCTCCTGCTCTGCACGCTCTCTCTCTCTCTCTCTCTCTCTCGCTCTCTCTCTCTCTCACTCAGCTCAGCTCCAACAATGAACTGTTACAATTATACTCTTATTTTCATATAGCTATGAGAAGCGTTAAACATGGACGCGCATGTGGTTGCCGTACTGTATTAAAGCTTTAATCAGAATAAAACTGTATATTAAAAGTTAACATAAACAGTAGCATTTAGAAATAACAGCGTATCTAAAAGTATGAGACAACAACAACCAAAAAACATAGGCCTACCATTAAAAGCCGTGCTTGCACAGGTTCTGCACGATCCTCTTTAATAATATCCTCTGCTTCTCAATCCGGCTCAAACTGATAAGCAATATTAACATGCAGTTGTTTACAATACAACCCGAGCACATGCCGCTATGTTGAGGGGCGGGACGTTTAGACACGCACTAGAGGCGGTTTAGCCAATCACAACACACTGGACTAGCTAACCAATCAGATCCCATCACCTATTTCTGAGGGAGGGGCTTCATAAAAGAAGGAAATGATCAGCGCGTTTCTCAGAGAAGGGACAGAGCGGTGTGGAATAAAGGTCAATTATGTGAAAAATAATGTGTTTTTTAAAAACAAAGCATTAACACATGTTACACTGCACCCCATAAACACAATCAAGCCCAGAAAAAACACTGAACCACCGCTTTAATGTTGCAGACTGGATGATTGTCTGTTTTGCTTACATCTATACACCTTTCACTTTTTAAGACTAAAACAAAAGATGGATTCATTGTTATTCTTAATTAAAAAGCACAACAACAATAAAACAGTAGGCTACAATGACAAACTAGCTTACATAACAAAAATTAATAAGATGAGGCATGGCATTAATATTAAAGGGGTCATATGATGTTGCTAACAAGAACATTATTTCGTGTATTTGGTGAAATGAAATGTGTTTATGTGGTTTAAGGTTAAAAAAACACATTATTTTCCACATACTGTACATTATTGTTTCTGTCCGGCCGGAGCGACGAGACAAACACATGAAAACCCAATATAAACGAGGCATTCGTTGCATCCAGTGGGGACATAATTACTTATTATAATGACTTATTCTGTCTTTTTACGCATTGCATTGCATCGTGTCTGCATTTGTGATCGGAGAAATGACAAACAACAAGTGCTACTCTACACTGCCCAAAACTCACGTTTGAATCGTCAGTGGCAAATTCTTTAAATATAAAAAACGTACTTACAGTCTGTGAGTCAGAACAGCCGGCATTGTAGTCTACTCTCCCAGGATCAGGAAACAGTCCTCCATAAAATGTGCTGCACACATCTGAATATTTGGGTTGAAGTGTTCTGGAACAGTGTTGTAAATACAACTTAACCACTGATTTCTAGTCCTGTCCTCTTTTGGAAGACCAAACAAAGTAGTTTCACTTTCACAACGAAGCACACAGCGTCTTCACGATATAGCGGCGGCGGCGGCAACAACAATAAAGTTACGCCTTCTTTCTTTGTGTGCACATTTGGGCGGTGTTATGCACATCTTCCCACATAGTGATGTAGATATGTGGGGGCGTGTTAGAACGAGCCGTTTTAGGAGGGCGTGGACTTAACTTTGATAAAGAATATCTCTTTGGATTTGAGACTTTAGTCTTTGCAACTTCAGGGATCTTATCTATTCATGAACAGCTCGTAACACTCCAAAGAGAAAGAAAAACTTGAAATCGCATCATATGACCCCTTTAAACTTGCTGTCGGTGACAGTGCTTGCATGTTTTTTCCACAAGAATACCAACATGTTCACCTTCTTTGGTTTAAGAAGCGGTCTTTTACTTTACTTTAGTGTGAATATATTGGCGTCATTATGCGTGCAGCTTTGCGCTGGTGCTGAGGCGGTGAGTATAAACCAGGCTCTACAGTCGAAGCGCTCGCACTGAAAGCAGCTCTCTTCTCGTGATCAGTCAAATCTGAGTCCTGCTCGCTGTATGGAGCAGAGCAGACATTTGGACTCGCACATTCTCAAAAAATTGTCTCAAATCTGACCGTTTTGGTCGCAGTCTAGAGCCCTGTTCCAGAATTGAGGCAAGTGACTGACTATATGAATGGGTTACTGAATCATTGATTACTTGATTTATTCAAAAACATGGATTGATCGGCTCTGATACTGGCATGTTCTGCTGGATCGGGTATCAGTCAGACGAGACCGATCCAAATCCCATATTCTGCATATGCTATTCTGTGTTATTGTTAAGCCCCACGAAAGCACAAACGCATTATAAAGCACCATAAAGTCAAAGTCCAAGTGTTCTGAAGCTGTTCCATGGTTTAATGTGAGGTACAGATGAATATTGAAGTTGTTAAATTCTAAGTTCTCGTAAACTCTTCTCTCCGCTGCAGCGGTCTGTCATCCTCTATTTAGTGTTCAAGCTGTGTGTCGTGTTCGGTTACGACATTTGAAACTCTTCAAGAGCGCACAGTAACTGAGATTTAAAACTGTTAAAAGACAAGGCTCAATAAACTAGCGTACAGATTTAATAAACTACGCATCGGTATCTCTTGTGTTGTGAACTTCTCTGTGCGGAGCGCTGTGACTCCGGGTTGCTTCAAGCTCATCATTCTGCACTCGAGATGCACATAAGCGCTTTGTGCCGCTCTGCGTTAGAGCCTTTCGTATTATAATACTTTTGCTCAAT